TACACAAAAAAGTTTTAACTAGAAATAAAGTAACTCTCTAATCACGGTATCTAATAACTACTGTTGGTAGAAGTAACAAATGAATTTTAACTGTGCTGTAAGTTTATTATATAAATTAATTATAATTTTATCCTATTCATCATCTTATATATATATATAAAATAAATGTACAATTATTTAGAAAGAAGTTATTGATGTCAAAGTGGACAGGGCCAAAACTCTTTTGAGACAGTCGAATAGAAGCCCAAAAGCCCAGACCCAAGAATCAGTAGATATATGCGTGAGGGCTGGACTTATTTTATTTATTTTTTTATAATTGTTTAAAATACATATTGACCTTTTTGTGATAAATAAATTGTCTAATATATGTTTGATTTTTATTTTTATTAAATTGATTCTCAATTCACAAAAACGGACCAACATGGCACGATAAATGTTAAGGTTTGATTGTCGTCACAAACTACCGATACTCGAAATAATTGACATCAATTTTATAGTTTTTCTTGATAATTTGTAGTTGGATTCGAAATATGAGAGAGAGTGAATGAAGTTGGGCAGTGAGTTAGTAAAATTTCTGCAAATCATTTTTTTATTTCTTGTGTTGTGATCTGCATGGAAATTTCCAGTAGTCGTCGTGCAAAATAGTAGGTGATTGATGGATAATTTGGATGTGAAATAGATTGATGTAATACAATTGGTGGATTTCCATACCATCTTATTTTATTCACTTTCCATTTTTTTTTTTTTAATGTGACAAGAACGTGCCACCAAACTCATACTATTTTGGATTATACATATGTATATATATGTATAACCTCATACTATATTTTTAATTGCAGATTGACTAATCAACAAGAAAAGTAGTAATAAATCCATAAATAGATTACATAGACGAATATCCGTGATGCTTAATTCAGCCACATTCTTTTGTTTATTTCTGCAATTATTTCCTAAAACTCAGCTCAAGAAGGGGCAAAAATAGTTGTCTTGAAAGAAAATGGTCGAATTTTAATTTAGGGTAAATTACGAAAAAATATCTTATGTTTGCGTAATTATAACCACCCCATCAACTATGTATTATCTTACACGTCCATCCATGCGGTGCCAAATTTACCTATTAAAGGAGGTTTTTTTCGCACTTTGACCTTGTTTCAGGGGTGACCGTAATTTGCTCTTTAATTTAATATACGAGCTAGTAAAGTCGAGGTTTGTAAGTTAATTGAATGTTATTAGACGCGTTTGTTAATAATATATACAGTTAATTGGTTGTAATTATTTACATTATATTAATCGTGATATGTTGATGTAATTTGATTATTTTATTCAAAGAAAAATAAAATGTCCGGTTTGATCGGAATTAAGTATGCGAGCAATATATATACAGAAGAAATAAAACCAAGTGGAACACCACAATACCACATCTACTTGACTTTTATAAAATGTAGCCTTATTCTAATTCTATAACAAATTTTAAGGTGGCTGGCATTTAATATGATAAAAATTGTTTGTGGAATTACTTAAATCTGCACACGTGGAGAATTAGAATCAGCAATTATCTGTTGGATTATTTTTTTTCCTGGGCTCATATTGGTTAGAAAAAGCATGTTAATTAATTCACCAATTCTGGTCTAGTTGATGGAGTAATTAAACATAATACAATGTTTAAACGAGTTCGATTCGATCTATCACACGTTTTGTGCGATGTTACACATTTTGTGCTATTTGCGAGCTAGTGCACAAGAATACGTTGTACCAAGTTATTCGGTAAAATAACATTTGATTGCATGTTTCACGCACAATTATATACGACCGTGTTCTGTTTATCTTATTTATAGATATGTACTGTGATGCCTTGAGATGCAAGTCTCGCTAGAGTTTTATACATATTTCTCTGTTGATTTGGGTCTGCTGCATTTAATGGGTTTTTAGGTTAAATACGTCTCAACTCGTTTAACACACCAATTTGAGGTCGTCTCGCCACATCATCTTACGGTCCTACCTCGTCTCACAGTTCAACATGAGGCACATATGATACTTTCATCTTATTTAGGGTTTCGTATGCTCTTTTAACATACATCGTGTATGTATGATTGTGAGTAAATATGTAACATATATATAGTGAATTATTTTTAATAAAGCATATAGAAGATTATCTCATGTATATATACTGCATGCATGCGTTATATATATTTTTAGGGTGCATTTGGGTGGAGGGATTTCAAATCCATAATAAAAAATCTCTTGAACTTGTTTGGATTGAGGGATTTGAAGATGGATTTCTCAAATCAAATCCCTCTCAAAATCCCTCTATCTAAATGGATCCCTAAATTAATTTAAAGCATTTTGAGTGTGGGTTCCATTAATTATGCATACATGATGGTACAATTTATTAATCACAGGTCAATATCAAGAAATGGATTTTGGATAAAATTTCTAATAATAATGACAATTAGTTTTAGTATAATGTGAATAACGACTGCAAACATGTCTCTCCCATGTAATGAAACAATAAGATGCTGCCAAGTAATACGATCAATTGATCACAAATACTTTAATTTGTAATAATTAATTTTGAATAGATTAGATCAATTATTTACTTGGTCAATTAATATAAAACCGATAATATGTGTAAAGTTATACTTCGATCTATCTTATTCACTAATATTTTCGATTTCCCTATCGCTCAATTCTCATATTCTATTTTTTAATTCCAAAATTATATATGTTCCACGAACAATATTGTCACTCTCACCCTCTCAATATCAAAAATTTAATTAAATAAATACTTTAAATAATTAATTAGTCGACGAGGAGGGCAGTTCGAATATAACAAGTGCATAATGATAATATAATTCAAAGGCGGCCTTGGACCATATTCTCTAATAATGCTTCTTCTTTTTTTTTCTTTTTTTTCTTTTTTTTTTTTTTTAATATTCGCCAATAATGATTTTCTTTTGTTACATGGTAGAAAGATTCTAAAGCCAACTGTCTCTACGACCACTTCTTGATTTATAATTAACATAATCTTAAATTCTTGATCTCAGTCCCAATTTAAAATAATAATAGTAATTAAACTAATCATCCAACCAGATATATATATACATACATGTGATATCTCAGTTTGTCTGTTAAAAACTATCCGCCTTATATTAATTTTCCTTGCAATAATATTTAGGGTAAATTCCACTTTACCCCCTCGTACTCTGCCCGAGAGTCACTTTACCCCCTTGTACTCTCAATTTTATCGATTTACCCCCTTGTACTTGTACAATTTCCCAATACAGCCCTTTCCTTCAATTTTTGTCAATTTTGACTCTAACACCATTTGGTCAGCTCTGTAAATTACAAAATTGCCACTGCTTATAACGCGTCGTTTCTGCTCCGTCAATATTGTCATTTCTTCTTCTCCCACCACTTCCCCTTCCAAGATATCCCCAAATTGAACCCCTAACTTAGTAAAAATCAAGACCCAAAAATTGATCGATTCCACCGCCAGTACAAAGAAAAAAATATATGAATGTGTGAAATTTTCTCTTTTCTAATCTCGAGAGTCAAAATCGAAAAAATTCAATATTTACGTCAATATTTTGACTCTTGACCAAATGGCGTCAGAGTCAAAATCGAAAAAAGTTGACGAAGAGGGTTATATTGGGAAATTGTACAAGTACAAGGGGGTAAATCGACGAAATTAAGAGTACAAGGGGGTAAAGTGGTTCTTGGGCAGAGTACAAGGGGGTAAAGTGGAATTTACCCTAATATTTATTACAAAGCAAGGCCAAAATAATATGGCCGGATTAAAAAATGTATTGCCCTTTATTTCTTTGGTTTTCATTCTGTACGCAGGCGCGGTCACCGCCCAGCTGAGGCAGAACTACTACGCCAACACGTGTCCCAACGTCGAGTCAATCGTCAAAACCGCCGTCACCAAGAAATTCAAGCAAACCTTTGTTACCGTCCCCGCCGTCATCCGCCTCTTCTTCCACGATTGCTTCGTCTCGGTAAAATTAAATAAATTTACTTATTTCGGGTGGTATATATATATACGTATTTATAACATGTATAATGATGATTTATATAACGTAGGGTTGCGACGCGTCGACGATAATAGCATCGGCCGGTGGGAACACGGCGGAGAAGGACCACCCGGACAATTTGTCGCTCGCCGGGGACGGATTCGACACGGTGATTAAAGCGAAACAAGCGGTCGATGCCGTCTCGAAATGCAAGAACAAGGTCTCGTGCGCCGATATTCTTGCACTCGCCACTCGTGACGTCATTGTCCTGGTAATTTAATTTTAATTTCAATATTCATCATTAATTAATAATCTTCTATATACTTTTTAAAATCATGTAAATTATAAAAATAATGAAAATATTTTGCACACACACACACACAGTCTGGTGGGCCATCGTACGCAGTGGAATTGGGAAGATTGGATGGATTGAGTTCGACAGCAGCAAGTGTTGAAGGGAATCTTCCTAAGCCAACTTTTACTTTGAATCAGCTTAATGCCATGTTTGCTTCTAGAGGTCTTTCTCAAGCTGACATGATTGCTCTTTCAGGTATAAAAACAAATAATTTCTTATTTAATTTAATAGGGGTTAATTCTAATATTTATTTTTAATACGTGGTCAAATTATATTTTTTTAAAATTAAGCATACAAGTAATCATGCAAAACAAAAGACAAGTAGTGTTGTAAAGTCAACCATGTTTATATTTTTTTTAACACAAAAAAGTCAACCATAAATAAATTGAACATGGGCATGTGAAAGACAACTCATTTTACCGTCCACGACCACAAAAAAAAACGTGCGAGCCACGATTTCTTCATGAAATTACAATTAATAGGGTAAATTATGAAAAACTCCCTACACTTGGATTAAATGACAAAAACAACCTCAACCTATTAGTAAGTATCAAAAAAGACCCTGAGGTTTGTTTCCGTCTTACAAAACCCCTTCCAGTGTGATTTTTCACGGATTTTTTTTTTATATTTTTTTTAGGGAATAGACTTTACACAATTTCAATTTTTATTTTTTTATTTTTTTTATTTATCACCTATTTAACATAAGGTATAATAGATTGTGCACATTTTCTGTTAAAAAACTCGATCAACAATTAATCAGATGGAGATTTTGGTTATTACGAATAGATGAGAGTGTTTTTCGTTATTTAGTGGTAATTTTCTGAAATTAATAATTCTTCAATGTGCGTGCAGCCTGCCACACGGTAGGATTCTCCCACTGCAACAAATTCATGAACCGGATCTACAATTTCAGCCCGAATAGCTCGGTTGACCCGACCCTGAACAAGCAGTACGCGACCCAACTGCAGGCAATGTGCCCGAGGAATGTTGACCCGCAAATAGCTGTCGACATGGACCCCACCACTCCGCGGAAATTCGACAACGTCTACTTCAAGAATCTGATAGATGGGAAGGGACTATTTACTTCTGACCAGGTTCTTTTTACTGATGCCAGATCCAAAGGCACCGTCAACACGTGGGCTACGAATTCTCAGGCCTTTAACACTGCTTTGATCCAGGCCCTTACCAAATTGGGCCGGGTCGGAGTCAAGACCGGAACCAATGGAAATATCCGTTTTGACTGCGGAAGATTTAATTAAAACCAAATTAATTCTTTTCCAAAAAAAAAACCATAACCAAGTCAATTTTATTGATTAATAGCAATTATTGATTCGTTTTGAAGTTGCTCTAATAAGAGGTTGTCACCGGTTAATTTGCATATGCACAATTTGTTTTATGTTTTTTTTTTTGTTTCGATTGAACATTTGAGTGTGCCTAAGGCCTGATTTCGTCGTCTTGTAATATATATTCTTCATTTATATATTCATTTAAAAATATTCTTCTTCATGTTGAGTTCTACAAGATCGTTTGTTATATGTTACACTCGTTGAACTGCAGTACTAATGTAAGTGTACAAATTTATATGTATTTTACATATCCACAATTCCACATGTATATATATTTTAAAACACCTTTACACGTGCCTTTTCTGTTGACGTTCAATGCAAACATCTCTATTTTTTAGAAATAAACACTTCATACTCACTCAACCGACTGTCATCATTTGCTTCTGTTTTTGAATAAATTTTGGCAAACACTGCCTAAATCGAAATCGGATAAGATTGTTAGGTAGGATACACATGGGTCTTCCTTAAATAATTAGAAAATAAATAACAAGTAACAGGGAATGAATAAATCAGTTGACATTATTGGATATATATATATATAGTTCATTATAAAGTCAACAGTTTAAAAAAGGGCATTTTTCTATAGATTAGGATTTTAGGTATTAATAATAATTAATAATAGGAAAGGAAAAGACCTTGATCAAGTATACATCAAAAGCCAGTTGTTCAAAAGTGTGAACAAAGATGCTACACGCAAACGTGGTAAGAACATATTAGTCTGCTTCGTCTGAAAATGACAACTTCATGGAATTTGAATAGTATATATGGATCAAGTGTTTGTCTTTCTGCACGTGTGTGTGTGTGTGTGTGTGTGTTTGTGTGTGTGAGATTTATTTAGAAGAATTCAAAACCTCTGTCTTAGCAGGGTAGACGAAGAAGCTTTACGATAACACCACGAAGTACCAAGAAACGAGATTTATCAATAATCAAATTAAAAGATAAACGAGGCGCAAAAAAATAAATGCAATATTACCTAAACGAAGTGGCTACAATCTTACAAGTATCCTATGATGTAATCACCTCTGCCAACATATATACAAACTCGATCCAAAATTTTCCGCAGTGTCGACAAACACTGTCACAAGAGCTTTTCTAGAGTCACAGCGAAAGCCACAGCTGTGACGAAAAAACTCTCCTTAATCACAGTCAAAATCTTCCAACAGTACCTTCTCAAGACACACCGGCCAATCACATCCAAGCATCCACGGATTCAACTGCATCGCAACTCGAAAATCAGTCATCGACACGTAAGATCTTTGTCCACACACAACGGGCCCCACCTCGTTTATTGCAGCCCGTAAATCTGCCAAGTCGAGACAGGGTTTTAGTAACCTCTTCATAAAAGCATCGAGCCCATTGTTCAACAAGTCAACACAATCCGTCGAGACGTTTAACAAACTCTCGGCCCCCAATCTTCGCTCAACCCTTCTCCTTAAACAACTCGCCTGATCAGGAAGCTCAGCTTTGTAATAACAAGTGTTGGAATTATCAATAGAGGGTAGCGATTTTCTTTGTTTTCCTCTTGCATGAAGACAAACACCTAGCGGAGCTCTAATAGGGCTTCTTCGAATACGAATGCACGAGGTTCCGGAAACTTCTTCACGCTCTTTATCGGGATTTTTTTTGGGCTTGTGGGTCCTACGCTTCTTAGGGGATGGAGGGAAAAAAACGTCCGCGTGGAGAAATTGAAGACTATTTCGATATCCGTTTGTTAATTTCGCCACATTTAATGAAGATTGCGGTTTTCGAATAATGGCATTCTTGATAATAGCTCGAACGAGCTTGTTGTGGAGAGAGACGTTGTCTCTTCCTAATAACACAATACAGAGTTTATCGAACTCCGATTTGCTGAGCTGGAGATTTAGGTACCTATTTAGAAGATTGAAGTATTTTTCGGATTTTTTATGACCTACCCCCATTTCGATACGGTGTTTTAGCTCAATTGTATCGATTCTTAGGGGGAAATGCCGATCCATGTTCATCATTTTACCATGAAAAAAAATATGGAATGTGAAATCAGACCGAATCTATGAACTCAATTCTTGACAAGCTAAGAAAACCTTAATTCTTGTCTTCCCCGAGGCAAAGTAAGTCAACGACAGTGAGAATGGTCAACACTGCACACTGACACCGAGAATTTCTGCAAAAAAAAAATTTGAAATCCCCAAATCCAGAACAACTTAAAATCACTTCATAATCTCATAATCGAACTTTACATAAATCAGAAATCACGCTTAAATAAACCTAATTACGCCATAATTAGACAAGAAAACACTAAATTCAGATACCAAAGCAGCGTCGATTACTCAATTAATCCAAGTGAAATCTCTAAACCCGTCATAAAATCCCCTTGTGGAATGGCATTGAAAGAAATATATACACATCGATCAACAATTCAACTTGAAGAAACAAACGAAAAAAGAAAAAAAAAATAATAACAAAAAATCTCACCTGGTTTGATTAAAAGAACTTCAAATATTTGTAGGAACAAACAAATTGAAAAACGAGGAGAGAGGGTAGTCGAGCTTCAGGATGGAGTTTAGAGAGAGAAAGAGAGAGATTTGGGCGTAGGGCGGTTGGAAATTATGGAAGCTTCTTTATCAGGTCAAAGGAAAGTCAAAGGCACGTGCGGTTTTTTCACAGGTGCGAAATGGTGAACGGGAGGGAATATAATCCCTCTCCCACGGAGGAAAGGTTCTGTTTGGCTTTCTAATAATAATTGGGTTTCAGACCAAATTTTCTGTCTGAGGTTTGAGGTCAGCGGATAACTGCTCCAAACACGTCTTGTTGCTTGTAGGGACCGAGTTGTTATATTGGAACAGTAAC